CTAAAGAAGTCTAATCTACAAAATTTATTTCCCCAAAAATGTCCCCTGTTTTCTTAGGAGGGAACTAGTCTATTTAAGTTGACCTGCAAAAATATTGGTAAAAAATAGGAGTGTTGTTTCGCTTAGTGATTGAAATGGCTTATTATTGAACAGAAGAATACATATGAATAAAAAAAAATACGTTTCCAAGGTGATTTTTTGTTTCATCTTCATTTTGAAAAGAACGTACATTTCTTTATAAAAAGAAAACGCTTTGAGAAATCACTCAACTAAAACAAACATTTAAATGAAAATGATGACCACATTTAAAAAGCACTCGTTCTTTATAATGACCACAAAGGCCTCAATATTAGATTTATTTTTTACATAAACCATCCGAAGCCATCTCATTATTAATTTCTTGCATTTTAATTAATTTTAATCGTTATACATACTCTCATACATATATATATATATATATATATATATATATATATATATATAAGACATTTTTTATGTTTATACGTTCTTTTTTATAAACATAAAAAATGTCTTAAATAATTGTCGGACTTTGTCCATTTCCTCATGTATGACGTCATTTGTTTACATTTGGATACGCATTAAGCAGATATGAATGAATGAGAGAAAATCATGGAGAATTGTGTTTAAAAACAGTAAACTCGGTCTTGCTCCTCTGTGGCCCAATCGGTTAAGGCACGTCAGGCTATATGATGGTTCCGTATAGGATACAGGTTCGATTCCTGTCGGAGGACACATATTTTCTATGAAAATTTTTCGGATATTCAGGCCGGTAAATGTTGTTAATACTGTTTATTTACTTAAATATTTGTATCTATAAAAAGAACGTATAAACATAAAAAATGTCTTAAATAATTGTCAAACTTTGTCCATTTCATAATATATATATATATATATATATATATATATATATATATATATATATAATTGTGTAGTTGGTCAGCAGTCTCTCTTTTATAATAGTTTCGTTGAAGATGATCGACAGGGCACTGCGATTAGCTTTTTCAATCTACATATTCAGTTTTATATATATATATATATATATATATATATATATATATATATATATATATATGTTGTAGCATGGCTACGGAAGGTAATGGATATGCCCCATTCCTACAAATACAGTAGTGAATACTGTATGTGTTGAGCGGCCGTCCTGCAGTTGGAGATTTGTCTTCAGTTGGGCTGCTTAATCTCTCTGCCTCCGAGCAGAGAGCATTCCCATACGGGGCTATGTTGAAAGACAGAGTCTTGTCCCGGGAAACACCTACCCGACTCCATTTTTATACGGAATCTACAGGAAATTTGGGGCTGAGCCTACAGGCTCTGGAACCCCACATTAAATTCAGCCTTGTGCCACATCTGACTGCATGGAGCAGTTGGTAGATACCATCTACAGTCTGCAGTTAGAGATTCATTGTGGAATTCACTTGAATCACTTCTAGAAGTTGACTACATCTACGCGCCGCAGGCGAATCTTATATGTGTTGCTCTTGTCCTAAGTTTTATCGTTCATTACCAACCTACATGTGATTATTCTATTCAGTAACATTCCCTAGGTTACAATATATATATATATATATATATATATATATATATATATATATATCAAAGTATATAATTGGTATACACGGAATGAATTCCAATAACCAACAATTACTATTCTTAAAAGAGTGCTCAATACAAAGTAGAGCAGATATAATTATTTTTATAAAAAATTTATAACATAAGTATGTTATAAAATCACTACAAAATAGCCATTTTGTTTCAACACACTCTGTGTCTTATCAAGTGATGGTGTTGAAAAGAAAATAAATATTTTCTTTTCAACCATTTTATAAAATGTCTTATGTTATAAATTTTTATAAAAAATAATTATATATATATATATATGAATACAAGGTTGGTATAGATGGAATAAAATTCCAGTAACCATAAACGCTATTTTTATAAGTGTGCTCAATACAAAGTACAGCGAATAATATTTATATAAAAATTTTAACATAAATATTTTATAACATGACTACAAAAGTAGCCATTTTGTTTCAACTCTTCTGACGTATTGTCATGTGGTGGTGTTGATTGTTTTGTTTTTTGTTGATTTTTTGTTTTGTTTTGTTTTTTTTTGTTTTGTTTTGTTTTTTTGCAATCAACACCATCACTTGACATGACACCAAAAGTGTTGAAACAAAAATGGCTATTTTTGTAGTGATATTATAACATACTTATGTTATAAAATTATATATATATATATATATATATATATATATATATATATATATATATATATATATATATATATATATAGTTAAACATTCAAAATTGAATAAAAACTTAATCGTAGAGCCTTGTCAATCGTTTTCAATGGCACTTGTATATAAGTCATATATATATATATATATATATATATATATATATATATATATATATATATATATATATATATATATTTCAGTGAATGTGATCATAAATAGTATATTTACTATCCTGAAGATATGGTTAGAACGTTAGTTTTCCGACCATGAGAGTGGAGGGGTTGAAATCTCATTATGGTCGATTTGTCAGTTATCTACTTGGGGAGGAGATCCTGGCATGTGCCACCTTTGGAAAGTGTCTGATTGTTGTGGATTCCGGGATGAAATCCGCTACCAATAATCAACAAACGCCAAGAATTAATATAGGAGAATAAATGTATCAACGTAATAATACAAACTGGTAATGCAGGTTAGTAGTTCCAGGAATGCGGGTTAGTAGAAAAATATATATACAGTCTTTGTAATTGAGGCCGTAGATATCTCTATGTCTGGACTCGACTATAACTCTGGTTGAACACCCGGTCTCGACGTATTGCTGTATTACTTCCTTACTGAGTCTACGTGCTCACTGACTGTGACACTTGCTCGCTACCTTCGTTCGTTCTCCCAGCAGTAGTATATGTATACTCTAGGTGAGTCCATTTGTGTAAAAATGGGAGGACACCTCAACACTGATAAACCATATTAAAGTTTGACCAAAGGATTATGAGTGAAATTAGGTAGGCGAAACTGTTCACAAGATGTCGTGACCGAGTGTTTAAGTATACCTACCCTGTTGATCATGACAAATGACACGCTCACTTCCAAAAACTGTAACTAAGGTACGCTCATTATAGTTGCAGTAAAGAAACACCGGTGTGATCCGTAAGTGTTGAACAAACAAACAAAAAATATTCCTGAACAGAGATGCAACATAGATAGATAGATATGAAAAGACAGAAATTGAACAGACTAAGATAGATAGATAGATAGATAGATAGATAGATAGATAGATAGATAGAAAATTAACAGACTGAGATAGATAGATAGATAGATAGATAGATAGATAGATAGATATGAACAGACTGAGATAGATAGATATAAACAGACTGAGATAGATAGATAGATAGATAGATAGATAGATAGATAGATAGATAGATAGATAGATAGATAGATATGAACAGCTAGATAGACAGAATTTGGACAGACTAAGATAGATGGCTAGATAGATATGAAAAGACAGAAATTGAACAGACTAAGATAGATAGATAGATAGATTTTCTTTTCTCGGGCTATCAGTTTACAGCAATATGAGTCAAAATTAATACAAGACACGTTCAATTTTCATCTGGATCTTGTCCTTTATTTTTACATAGCCGCACTGGCAACCCGAGTAAAATTGCGATAAAAAGCAACTGGAAAAAATTTCAATCGCAAGAGCATTATTAGGCAAAATTAAAAATTAATAATGGATGACAAATGCGTCCACGCAAAAAAAGGTACTCGTTTCCGATGACGATACTCATCCCAATGATATATGCTGAATCACGTAGCTATTTCTAGCAATGATGAGAAATTCTTCTTTCTTTATTAGCAAATCAGAAGTGTTTCTAAGTGAAGTCAGTAATGTATCGCAATGCAAAAATAGGTTTGCGGGAAAAGATATTTCCTTATTCAGAAAGACAAGACTTACTATTCAAAAATTCATTCCTATGTCACTTACAGTACGACAAAGAAAAATTCTTCTACACTGAGTTCTTAAAAATCTTTTACAAAGTTTTTCGACGATTTTTACACAGGATTTTATCAATTCTTGTATACAGATTTTTGACACTTTTTTCTTTTTTTTTTTTTCCAATTCACTAGTTTTTAACAAATCCTCTGAAGCATCTTTCGCAATTATTCTACATCGGACTTGTACAATTCTTCCATACCAAATTTTTCTACACAGGTTTTTAACATTTCTTTTTACTCAAAATTTCACAATTTTCTAACCTGGTTAGGACAATTAATCTACACCAAATTTAACAATTCTTCTATAAAGACTTTTGACAATTCTTTTACACTAGTTTTCACAACGTCCTGGGTATGACGATAAACTACATCCGCGTCCTGGGTAAGACGATAAACTACATTCAACAGCAAATCCTCTGATCAGGAGGTTTTCAGGAGCGTGGAACCCCCTCTTAATTGCTGGTGTTCCCAGGTCCACCGTGACCCGGGGTGGTAGAATCTGTTAGGGTCCTATCTATGGGCAAATAGTTAACCCCCGAACTGGGGTCAAAACTCTATAAAATTATGAAAATAAGTTTTAATATCAGCAATAATTTTTTTTAGGAAAATATTACCAACAATACATTTTTGGAAAAATATTACCAGCAATAAAATTCTTGTCGGCATTAAATAACCCATAAACAAAACAAAACAAAACAAACTAGTTTTGACAATTCTTCTACGCTAAATTTCACAATAATTCTACAATGTTTTGCTTTTTATTGTTCATCTGCAGTAAATTTCACAATTCTTCTGCAATGCTCTTTCTTTTGTCTGATATAGAAGAATTGTCAACACCATTGTAGAAGAATTTCGCAATGGTTAGACACAGTTCTTCTAAACATGTTTTTCACAAGAGGTCTATACCATTTGTTAACAATTCTTTTAATGTTTTTTCATATTTCTATAATTTATGGCCATATCTCGTTGAAACACCGGTTCCCTATGATCCCCAAAGTTAAGCATCGTCAAGCCTGGTCAATACCTAGATCGGTGACCACTTGGGAATACCATGTGTTGTAAGCGTGGATGTGCGGATGGTGTCATGAATATTGGCTTGCAATTGCAAATCGGAGAGCCGAGTTCCAGTCGAGTTCGTTATATTAACGTTCACGCAAATAACATTGGAAAAATATGAATCCACCTCCTCTCCTCCAGATAAGGGTTAATTAATAGAACTTTGTATCAGTAAAAAATCATTATTATCAAAATCAAATATTACAATCTAAAAATATTTTCTGACTTTAAATAACCTGCAAAAGGTTGATAAACCGTAAAAAACAAAACAATCAAGAAAATAAAATATTTTTCTAGACCGGTTTTTGCTATTTATTCTACTTCTTTTTTTTTCTGATAATTCTTCTTCACCATTTTTTTATATGTTTATTTACTCAAGTATTTTTCTACTCTTATATTTAACCCATAGTTGGGGGTGAGAATATATTGACTCATCAATTCTACTTTTCGTGCCGATAACCGATATCTTTTTGGAGGAGTTTTATAGAATCTCGAAAAAAGTCAAACACTGATCTTTAAAAACATTATGTCTTTCCGTTTATTCTATGACATTTTTATTAATGTCTTCTGTCAAAGGAGATATTTACTAAGCTTAGTCACACAAATCCATGAAAATGGAGCACCCAATAAGGATTGACAAGATTGCTAATCCTCGCAATACCGTAGGCGCCCAATCCTCTCTTTGCGTAATATTCATGCATTATGATAATCAACCTCCTCATCTTCCTTCTTTTTATCATCTTTTTTCTTTCCTTCTACCTTGACTCTTTCTCCTTCTTTTTATTTTATTTTTCTCTTTCTTTTTTCCTCAACTTTTTCTCCTACTCTTTATATTCTTTTTCTCTTTCCTTATTCTTCGACTCTTTCTCCTTTTCTCTTTCTTTATTCCTCGTCTCTTTCTCCTTTTTATCTTCTTTTTCTCTTTCTTTATACCTCGTCTCTTTCTCCTTCTTTTTCTCTTTCTTTATTCGTTAACTTTTTCTCCTTTTTTTAAATTCTTTTTCTCACTCCTCGACTCTTTCTTCTTTTTTCTTCTTTTTCTCTTTCCTTATTGCTCGTCTCTTTCTCAATCATTTTATCTCCTTTTTCTCTTTCATTATTTTTCATCTTTCTTCTCATTTATTTCCTTCATTGGCTTTTTTCATTATTCTACGATTCGTTCTCTTTCTTTTATCTTCCTTTTCTCTTTCTTTATTCTTTCTCTCACTTCCATTTTCTCTTTCTTTCTTTTTCTCTTTTTTTTCATTTCTGTTCTTTTTCCCTTCTTTTCTCTTCCCTATTTTTCGTTTCTTTCTGTTTTTTTCCTTTCCTTTTTTCTCTTTCCTTATTCCCCATCTTGCTTTCCTTCGTTATCTCTTTCCCTATTTTTCCTCTGTTTCTCATTCTTTAGTTCCTTCATATTCTCTTTCCTTAGTCTTTGTCTCTTTCTCCTCATTTTTCTTTTTATTCTTTCATTATCTTTCGTCCCTTTCTCATTCTTTCTATCATTCCTTTACTCTTTCTTAATTCTTCGCTTTTTTCTATTTCTTTATTTCCTTATCTTTTTCTTCTTCTCCACTTTTTCTCATCTCCGCCGATGGCCATTTGAAGAAAAATATTATTAACAACTTTGAGGAAAATGGCAAATAAATGTCAGCCTCTCTCTCTCTCTCTCTCTCTCTCTCTCTCTCTCTCTCTCTCTCTCTCTCTCTCTCTCTCTCTCTCTATCCCTCCCTCCCTCCTCTCTCTCTCTCTCATCATTAATTTTCCCCCTCCGTCTCCATCGAAGATTTATAAAACCTGACAACCGCAAAAACAAGACAAATGTCTATTTTCTGATAAGGAAGGTCCGTAAAGAAATCCCTTTTCCCATTAAACATTGATTAAAAGCTCTTTTATCTTAGGCAAGAATTTGTGGGGACCGATTTTCATTTTCTCTTCGCAACAACAAAAAATCGTTTTAGCAACAGTCTTCTCCCTCTTTCCTATCATATTCCTCCCCTCCCCTAACATCAAAGCTCACGCACGTGCGATAAGACCTGTGTTCCAAAGACAATGACAGCATGTGTGGTTATTAAATTGTATTGAAGGAACAGTTTTTATGGCCAATGACTTCAATGCATAATAGGAATAAATAATTACAATATTCTTTATTTGTTTCCTTTCTCTATTTTTTTTTTATTTTCTCCCTTTCTTTTCCTGTTTTTCTTTCCTCTTTTCTATCTTTCTTTCTTTTGATTTCTTATATTTGCTTTTTCTTCTTTTTATTTTTCTTTATATTTTCTCTTTCATTTCTTTAAATTTTTTCCCTATTTTGTTTTTATTTTTCTACATTTTCTTATTTCTTTTCTTTCTTCCTATCTTTCTTCCTTCCTATCTTTCTTCCGATCTTTCTCCCTATTCCTTCCCTATTTTTACTTTTTATATCTTTTCCTTTACAGCTTTTCTTTCCTCTTTTTGTTCTTTCTTTCTTTCTTTTTCTTTCTTTTTCTTTCTTTTTTTCCTCCACTACTTTTGCTTCTTCTTTTTATTTTATTTATATTTTCTCTTTCTTTTTGTTCGTTTGTTTTTTTCTTTCTTTCTTTTCCCTATTTCTATTTTGCGTCTATTTCATTCTTTCTCTATTTTCTTTCTTCTTTTCTTTATTTCTTTTCCTTCTCTATTTTTGCTTTTTCCTATTCTTACTTTATTTGTTTCTTTCTTTTCCGTATTTTTTATTTTCTATCTATTTTACTTTCTTCTTTTTTCTTTTTCTTTCATCTTTTCTTTCTTTATTTATTTTTACTGTCACCTTTTTTCTCTCCTTCTTTCGTTCTTTCTTTTACCGTACCTTCTTCTCTTCCAACTATTCTTTTCGCATTTTTCTTATCCCCTCTCTCTCTCTCTCTCTCTCTCTCTCTTTCACACACACACTCTCTCTCTCTCTCTCACACACACACACACAAACTTTTTCTTCCTTTCTCTTTTTGCCCCGTATTTGTCAAGCCAAATATTTATACAAATTGCATTTCCTGTACACGAAACCTTGTGTTAGTTCCAAACTTTTATGAAACGATTCCATCTTGTGCTACAAAGATAAAACTAAATGAACTGAACTTCCTAAGACAGAGAAGACGATGTCACAAGGAGTTTTAGGAATATGGTCATTTGAGTTTGTTAATTAAAGTTAACAATGAACATTACCAAATCTGAAAATGTTTTCAGTCAGCAAATTTCGAACAGAAGCAAATTTTAGTTAAGAATTCATTTCTTGAAAGAGAAAGCACATACTGAATATATCAAATTATAATTCTGCTTGTTTCCCCATTTGTTAGTAAGTTAACTAGCACGTGCGTTACGCCTTGTCATTACCTCAGATAAATAATAAACCATTCCGTTTGGATTGAAAGAATATATCGGAAACGCTGTCTGGTTTTAGTGAGAAAAAGAAAGCACACATAATAGAAAAAAAGAAAAAAAGAAAAGGCGATAACGCTCCCATGCGTTTAACGTCTGCTTCAGTGAAATGGAAAATGTTGTCAATTTTGGGTCTTTTTATTTGTACCCTCTTACTTCTTTAAATAATCTTTAATCATAAGTGTTATGATTAAATGTTCTTGATGCGTAGATATTGTCAACAACTTACAGCTTTTTAAGTCCCACCGCGGTACGACCACCTTAGATATCTGAAAAAACTTTTCACAATGTGTAGCATAGGGGATTGCTACACAAACACCCCATCGATGGAATCTCTGGAAGAGTTCTCGCAATCATCGTTTTTCCTATCAGATACTTGAAAGATATTTTCCTATAGAACTTTTTTCCTAGAGATTTTTTCTTTTTGCTATAGTTACTTATTCCTATATTTAACGAAATTCAATTTTTTCTTCTAATTTTTAAAATCTGTAAAAAATGAAAACGTCAGTAACAAAAACCAGTAAAATCAATAAAAAAAAATAGCGCGTTAAATTTTTTTCTATATTTAACGAGTTTTAATTTTTTTTTCTTTTCCTATAGATGCTTGAGGGTCGTTGTCAATTGTCAAACTTCTGAGCCTATGTGATCAATGAATTTGTCCCAAAAGGTTCACTACTCCGTGCTACTCTGTTTCTGTTTTATATTAACGATCTACCAAAGAACATTCTCAGATCCTGTCATAAGTATGGCTGACTCTAGACTCCAGGAGAGCAACACTATGGGACTTCTTGGCCTCACGTTCTCAGCTGACTTGAAGTGGAGTGACGACATCGAATCAATAGCTGCATCTACTGCAAGGAAAGTTGGGTCACTGTGTCGTGCCAGAAGATTTTTCTCGTCATTTTGCACATTTATAAATCTATCCTTCGTCTGTGCTATGAACACTGTTGCCATATCTGTTCTGGTGTTTCTGCTTGAGATTCTTGACAAAATCCAAAGAAGGATCTGTAATGTAATCGATCCTGACCAGGCAACTCAACTTCAGACGTGATGTGGCTTCCTTCTGTCTTTTCTACAAATATGTTCACGACAACTGCTCCGACGATCTATTTCCCTGGTGCCCCAACTACATAAATTAAGCATGCTATATTTTACTGTTGAAATAGCTAAATGCAACAGCCACTTCTGCCCCTACCGTTTCTTTTCTCGCACTTCCCACCTGTGGAATTCCATTCCGTTTACTTTATTCCCTGATAACTACAATCTTCAAAAATTTAAATTCAGCATCAAGCGCCATCTTCTTGAATCCCCTTCATCTTTTTTTTTCTTTCGTCAATTCTCCTTATTCCCAGTCGTTTCTTTCACTTTTACTACCTGTAGCCCCCTGCGTACTAGTAGCATTTCTGCCTTGCTTTGGGTGACATGATTATATATATAAACAAATGTTTGGAGGTACAAAATTTATAAATAGTTTTAAAAACAAGGAAACCATTGATTTTAATTTTAAAAGTCTCTAGGGCCCTTTCAGCCAACATCTCATCAGGAGACAATCGTTGGATTAGCGAAATGAATAATAGCGATATTGAAGAGCAAAAAAGAGGGAAACACACTAAAATAACGAACAAGTATATATACTTGTAACGAGGAAGGATCGTGTAAATAAATTAATTAGCGAGGACAGTTAAAATAAAATATCCCCAACAGATTCAGAGACCTTATAAATTCTTTCTGCCGGCAGAGAGAAGGTTTTCGTAATCCTATACAGACCGATTCCAAAATCTTCAAATGATTATTGGAATCGGCTGTATCAATAATTCTAAACCACTCTTTTTTATACAACTTGGCACAAGCTATATTCTCAACTAAATGTTGAGCAATAGCCGATTCCATATTCATGGGGGAAGATAGCATATTCTATCTATCTTACCAAGTCGTATTTTGGAAGGTACGTGCTGATTAATTCTAGTTTCCAAATGCAAGGTTGTACGCCCCACATAACCAGCAGCACACTGGCAATTAAATTCATATACTAAATTGCTCAATTTGATGTAGGGCAATACATCCTTGCGAAAAACGGAAACGCAGACCTAGTTTGAAAAAATGCTACGTAAAACAACTGATGGGAAACAACCGAAACCGACTTGCTAACCTGCTTAATTAAGCCCTGACCATTATCCCCAATCCAGGGAATCTTCAAATAAACCGGACATTTAGAAGGCCCTGGATTTTGGGGAATAAATTCCTTAGTTTTCTTACTAATAATATGGTCAATAAGGGCCTCCGGATAGCCGTTACTAAGGAAAATCTCCCTAATGTTCCCAAATTCACGGTCCAATCTAATAGGGGAACACACTTTAAGCGCTCTATACACCAAGGTTTTAACGAGATTAATTTTCCTTGATGCAGGAGCAAATGAACGCCAATTCAAATAAAGTCCAGTAAAAGTGGGTTTACGATAGATCCAAAAAGGCAGACAGTTGTCTTTCTCCCCTTCCATAGTGAAAAGACAAACCATTGTGTAAAACCACCTCTAGAGAAAGTTGCAAAGGTGTCTATCTAACGTAAACAAACGGTTTAGACGTTCAAATGCAAAAATCGTCCAAAAAATATTGTCAAAACTGAACTCCACCGACTAGTACATTGTCTTTCTCCAGATATCCCCTCAATGGTGTTGGTAAATAGACAAACCATTGTATCAGGGCAAGACTGTATGGCCTGTAGGCGTTCAACAAACGAACGAATCAGGTATACAATGCTTAAAAAATGTTTGGACCGGTTGTACTCAATTGAGCCTCAATCTTTCATGGAACGTAGAACTTTTGGAAGACCATAAAGCCTGGTCAAAGAAGGTCTAATCCTGTCATCGACATATCTAAACAAGTAAACAAACGGTTTGAACATTTCATTTCGCCGAAAACTGGACCAATTTTTTTAACTTTTCTGAAACATTTTTGGATGGTAGCCCACAAAATATCAGCCAATGCAACAACCTTAAATTGGTTTTTGACCAACAAAATCAAAAGGGGACTGCCCATCTGGACCCCATCCACAGTCTAATGAAGGATACATTTTTCATATTTAAAGCACGGTGCTCAAAACTGAACTCCACCGAATGGTCGAACTTTGAAAGAGGCTCCTTGATTTAAGTCTATTGACATAGTATCAAGTCGAATACATATATACGTTCTATAAAATATTTTATATCCTTAGGAAAAGGGAGGTCGGGGGATGGATGTTAATCCTTCCGTCCCGACATTTCCAAAAATTGTCTGACTGTCTTGATATCAATACAACCTTTCCCTCAATGGTACGTTGGTAAATTAGATTCCCTAGACTGGACAAACATTCAAAGGGTACATTCATTCCTTCGTAAAATCAGTTCTTTCGGATCAGGGCAAGACTGTGTTTCCCCGGACTGTCCAGGCGTTCAACAAACGTGAACGAATCAGGTATAATAAAAAAGCAATGCGTAGAATTCCAACTAAAAAAGACAAAAAATAAAGCAGGTTTGAGACCGGTTGGTATGACCTGCACTATCCCACTTTAGAAATGAGATGCCATTGAGCCAGAGAACGTTGGGATGAACCACTCATTGAAAGCATTGGTCTCAATGGAACGTCTTTGCTGGATCTCTTATGAACTTTAATGGAAGACCATCAAAGCCTTGGTCTAAAGGGAACCCGCATTCAGAAGGTCTAATCCTGTCATAAGTCTCTTTACCTATACAATTGGCTGAAAAAATGCCATAACCTTTTTCTTTAAATCAAATCTATAATAGACGTTTCTGAATTTTAATTTTCTTTTCTGTACGGATGTTGTCCTCAAAGTTTTGTCAACTGGACCAATTTTTTAACTTTTCTGAATCATTCTAAAATAATCAACATCTTTTTTGAATCATGTAATCTGGCCAGTGCTTCAGTCCAGCTGCTACAACAGAAGGGTACACCACAAGCCAACGACCACCAGCACCCTTGTCCGGTTTTACAAATATAAATATCATTATTAGATTTCAATGATTTAACAACCTTAAATTGAGTTTTTGACCAGACAAAATCAAAATCAAACGACAGTCAATAGGGAAATTGAATTACAATAACGATAAATTAAGAAATCCCTTTCACAGCACTATACTTTTCCTATATATATATATATATATATATATATATATATATATATATATATATATATATATATATATATATACTGTCCAAAGATTCCAACCAACAACTACAATTTCTAGATAAAAAATCGGAGAGCCTGGCAGCTGCCCCAACAAACTTTTTCTTCCATCCAAAACATTGATAAGCTCAAGCATAGCTCTAAATCAGTCTAATGGAAGAACAATGAAGCTGGCTCGCAATTTTCAGTATTTAAAGCACGGTGCTAGTAACTTTTCATTATCAGCAAAATGACCCAATTCTCACCAGTCATAATGAATGGTCGAACTTTGAAAAGAGGCTCCTTGATTTAAGCATCTATTGAAACCCAATTTCACCCAGACCTCAAGTCGAATACATATATACGATCCATTGCTAAAAACACTGCAAAAATGGTCTGTTTTTATATCTCTTGGCGCCTGATAGTTGGCCCTGAAGGTTGGCGCCAATATTTGTGGTACCTGGCTCCGCAGATATGCAC